TAACACCCAACAGCAGAAACAGTAGCAACAGCAGCAGTAGCAGCAGTAACACCCAACAGCAGAAACAGTAACAGTAACAGTAGCAGCAGCAGCAGCAGCAGCAGCAGCAGCATCTTCTTCATCATCATTATTATCATCATCATCATTATCAGCAGCAGTTGCTAATACATGACAATAAATCCACGCTGGGGTTTCACCGCTCTCTTTCTATTGATTGATTATATCGTGACACCTTCAGCAGAGACTTCTGTCGCCCTTCACCCAAACCTGAGAGCCAGGATCTTCTCGGGCACCTACAGCTGCCAGTAGTACAGCTGGCTGTCGTAAAACTCACCAGATTCTTTCACAACCCCGCAGTTAGACTCTCACGAAACTCGATCGGAGGTGCGAGGTCCAGGGTCAGGGGTCAGGGGTCAAGGATCCGGGAAGAAGACGGTCATTTCTTTTGTTGTCGCATCTGCTGAGTTTGGGAGCGAGAAAAAATCTGAACAGACTCAGAAGAATTCTAAATCCAGAGTTTTGCTGTTCATCGAGACTGGCCCAACGTCGTGATCCAAGCAGCTTCCGAGACTGGCCCCACGTCGTTATTCAGGCAGCATCATAGACTGCCCCCACGTCGTCATCCAGGCAGCATCTGAGACTGTCCCCACGTCGGCATCCAGGCAATATCTGAGACTGACCCACACGACGTGTGGCCTGTAAAATAAATCGCAATCTAGCCAGGCAGTGACAGTCTTTCGGCTCGAAGTTGGATCCACACCGTAGACGGAAAGAGCGCCGAAGCAAGGGAAAAAACCCTACAGCAGAGATAAAAGCTTGGAAAAAGTTAACAGCTTAAAAGTTACGGCGCTGTCTCAAAAGGCAAGCAAGTTTGATCATCACTCACGAGTTTTTCCTCATCCTCGCAGCCTCCCGTTGCCACGGGCGACAACCACTATCGTCTGCCTTCTCTAGTTGTCTCCTAGGCTCCTCTCGCAGACTCAGTCTCTCCCATCCTCATCTCCCACGCATTGAGCAGCACATCCTTCGTCAGGTAACGACCACGGACGGGACTTTTTTCACGAACGGAACAAGTACGAAGTTTACGTCGACGTCCTCGCTTTATACCTTGTTTTCGAAGAAGTGAAATTTTGCCTTACTTCTCTGTTGGACTTCGCCTCCCGCTACACATACATCACCCCACCCCGCCTGTCCTCCTCTCTTCCTCACCCCTTCTCTACCCTCTCCCCCTCTTCTACCCTCTCCCCTCTTCTATCCTCTCCCCTCCTTTACCCTCTCCCCCTCTTCTACCCTCTCCCCTCCTCTACCCTCTCCCCTCCTCTACCCTCTCCCCTTTCTCTACCCTCTCTCCCTCCTCTACCCTCTCCCCCTTCTCTACCCTCTTCCCCTCCTCTACCCTCTACTCCCCCTCTACCCTCTACTCCCCCTCTACCCTCTACTCCCCCTCTACCCTCACCCCTCTCTCGTCACATCTGGCCGCAGCGTTGTGAGATCTAGAGACAGCTGCCGGCATCGTCTGCCAACATGTGCTTCTTCCTCGGCCTCTTTCTGCTGCAGTGGTGGCTGTCTGAGAAGTCATACTGGACAGACGAAGATGCGTATTATTATAGACGCGGCTAGGAATAGCAGCAGCACCACCACCACTGACATCATCCCCTAATTGACCTAGCGCTACCAAACTTGGTATACTTACACATCTTGGGGAGAAGGTGCGCAGCGTACCAAAACCACGTCACTGCGGCTTTTATTTGACTTTGAGTTTGACCTTGATCATATTTCTCTTCCGCTCTATAACTCGGCCCCTAATAGACCTAGCGCGACCAAACTTGGTATACTTACACATCTTGAGGAGAAGGTGTTAATTATTAGGGCATTATTAGGGCATTTTTAGACATTTTAGGGCATAATTTTAGACAATTAGGGCATAATTAGACGGCTCTCCACCAAGCAAGCGGAGTGCGAGACGAACGCGTCGTTTATCGTCGGTCTCATCCAATATCACAAGTAAATGGGAGATATTTTGGGCCCACTGAGTAAAGGTTACCGGCGTATCATCTGTCCCATTAAATTCTTTATAACCTGATATGAGCAATAAAGATTGTATCTCTTTAACTAATTCCTGCATGGGTTGTTTAGGAAAATAAATTTCAATTTCCGGCATGTCAATTTCCTCGTCTGATACGTCTACAGAACGATCTATGTTAGTGTCAGAGAGCAGAGGGTGGGTGGGGGTACGGGAGGAATAGTTGTCATGATTAATTGTACAGTTATTTATAAAGAGTTTTAGGGTAGTAATGGCTTACTATAATTTATGCGTACTCCAACATTTTGATACTCTCAACCATAAACTAGCACTTACAGTTTCATCGTCATAGTCGTATGGCAGCAGCACGTATTCAACAGACTTCGTATTTGCGCTCAGAAATCCCGACGTATGCGTACACAGTCGAGTATAAGTATGAAAAACAAGACTTATGTTAGAAGCAAAACATATGTTATGAACAATAAGACTCAATGCCAAGAAAAGCGTATATTAGAACGGTAGCTTACGTACTGTACTTTACGTAGTACTTATGTTAAAGGTATATAACAAATATTCTTTGAAATGATATGAGACACTTCTATTTAGACACACACATTAAACACATACATAGGCAAATATTATGAGCACCAAGCGTCTGTCCACGTCCTGTGAGTGAGGTGTTTTTACGAACAATTCTTACTATTTTCCATATATAGGAAGATTGATGTTTATGGTTTGCCTGAGCGTAGCCGTACTGCCGAGTAATGGCTTTTTACGATGTCAATGTGTGTGTCCGCCTACCTTGTATTTGCTAATCTGCATTCTTAAGTAGGGCGCCTGCTTTCCTTGCTGTCGTTACTAGGCCGCGCGTGGTTGACATTTTCTCTTTCTCTTAATGGACTTCTTTCCAACGCGCGGTTTATAATGACTTTTAGCTTCATTACATATCGCGTACCGAAACCAGGTCACTGCAACCTTTATTTGACATTGACCTTGACGTTGACCTTTATCATATTTCTCTTCCGCTCTATAACTCAGCCCCTAATTGACCTAGCGCGAGCAAACTTCGTATACTTACACATCTTGGGGAGAAGTAGCAGCAGAAGCAACAGTAACAGTAACAGCAGCAGCAGCAGCAGCAGCAGCAGCAGCAGCAGCAGAAGCAGTAGCAACAGCAGCAGCAGCAGCAGCAGAAACAGTAGCAACAGCAGCAGCAGTAGCAGCAGCAGAAACAGTAGCAGTAGCAGTAGCAGTAGCGGCGGCTAGCGCCCGTCTATACCCTCTCCCCGTGAGGAGGGGAGAAATTAAAGACCAGCGTGTTGATCATACACAGCTGGGAGACCGCTGCTGCGAGGCGTGCCTCTCTCTCCCTCGCCCTCTCCCTCTCTCTGTCTCTCTACA